GTCAAAAAAGAATCACTAATTAATAATCTTGATGTTATTGATGAGCTTGGGAAAAGTGATCACAAATCACTTAGTTTCAATATATCATGGAATTACCCAGATAACTGCAATCAAATCTCTGTCACTGACTTTCACTTGGCCGATTTCATGGGACTGAGAAATTACCTGGGTGGGATAAATTGGGATGTCCTGACTATGGGTCAGGGAGGTGATCTTGGTTGCCAATATGACGTTTTTCAGATCATAGTTCTAGCTGCCCAGACAACTTTTGTTCCGAGTAGGGAAATTAGATCTAACAAAAATGGTACATATAGGCGTATCAAAAGAGGGGATGGGCAGTTAAGAAATCAATGTATTCAATTAAAGAGAGAGATAAAAAAAAGGAATAAGAAAAGCAAAATGGGATTAAGAGGCTATGGTCGCAAGGGATTCGAAGACAAACCCAAAAGGGTTCTTTCAGGTATACAGAAGTAAGATTAGGGACAAGATAGGTCCACTTAACTTGACTTAAGAAATCGTAATGACACGATTGCAAATAAACCATACCCCCGGCCGGGATTGAACCCGCGGTCATAGAGTCTCAAAACTCCAGCCCGTCGCGTTAGCCACTAGACCAGCTAGCCACAATAAGATTCATCCAACTAGGTATATTTCTACACCATAGGAAAGTTAGCACAGGCACCTCTGTGACCACAAATGCAAGTTTTTACAGACGAATCTCCAGCTAGCGTGGCCGTGACGAACTCTAGCTCAAGTCCCTTCACTGCCGTCAACATGACTTAAGAAATCGTAATGACACGATTGCAAATAAACTAGCTGGTCTAGTGGCTAACGCGACGGGCTGGAGTTTTGAGACTCTATGACCGCGGGTTCAATCCCGGCCGGGGGTATGGTTTATTTGCAATCGTGTCATTACGATTTCTTAAGTCATGTTGACGGCAGTGAAGGGACTTGAGCTAGAGTTCGTCACGGCCACGCTAGCTGGAGATTCGTCTGTAAAAACTTGCATTTGTGGTCACAGAGGTGCCTGTGCTAACTTTCCTATGGTGTAGAAATATACCTAGTTGGATGAATCTTATTGTGGCTAGCTGGTCTAGTGGCTAACGCGACGGGCTGGAGTTTTGAGACTCTATGACCGCGGGTTCAATCCCGGCCGGGGGTATGGTTTAGGTCCACTTAAGAGTAACTCTGGTCAGATCACTGACAGAGATAAGGAAAAGTGTGAAATTTTCAATACTTCCTCTCGGTTTTTACCCTGAAAAATACTAGCGAAATCCCAAAAATAATAAATTATGTAGAACAGGACGATAATAAAGTATGCACGATTGCTGTAACTAGTGACATGATCCTCAGACAAATAGAGAAACTAAAACCTAACAAATTCCCAGGCCTTGATGAACTGTTTGCAAGGGTGTTAAAGGAATGTAAAGAGAAACTTAGCATACCTTTGGCTATCTCTTCAACATATCACTGCAAACTGGCATAGTGCCTGATAAGTGGAAAATGGCAAATGTAATACCTATTTACAAGGCAGGTGACAGGTCCTTAGCTTCGAACTATAGATCAATAAGCCTTACCTCCATAGTGGGAAAATTTATGGAATCAATAATTGCCGAGGCAATTCGTAGCCTTCTTGAAAGGCATAAATTGATTAATGAATCTCAACACGGTTTTACAAAGCGGCGTTCCTGTCTCACGAATTTTCTAACTTTTTTCACTAAGGTGTTTGAGGAGGTAGATCAAGGTAATGAATATGATATTGTGTATATGGACTTCAGTAAGGCTTTCGATAGAGTTCCACATCAGAAGCTATTGAGAAAACTTAAGGCACACTGAATAGGAGGAGAAATGTTTCGCTAGGTAGAGGCATGGCTGACAAATAGGCAGCAAAGAGTTTGCATAAATGGGGAGAAATCAGATTGGGGGCACGCCACAAGCAGTGTTCCACAGTGGTCAGTGTTGGGCCCGTTGTTGTTCACAATTTACATAAACGACATAGATGAGGGAATAAATAGCGACATAAGCAAATTTGCTGATGTCACCAAAATAGGCCGTCCAGTTCATTCTGAGGACACTAGAGCACTCCAGGATGATTTGAATAGACTGATGCAATGGTCGGAGAAGTGGAAGATTCAGTTTATTGTAGACAAATGTTGGACAGGAAAATAACCATGCCACTTACAAGCTAAATAACTTAGATCCTAATACTACTGATTGCGAGAAGCATTTAGGAGCTCTGGTTAGCAGTGATCTGAAACCAAGACAACAGTGCATTAGTGTTCGCAATAAAGCTAACAGAATCCTTGGCTTCATATTTAGAAGTATAAATAATACAAATCCTCACGTTGTTCTTCAACTCTGTCACAGACCGGGCCGCGGGGGCGTTGACCCCCGGAACTCTCTCCAGGCAAACTCTCCAGGTATTATCGGTTAGGCCTCATTTAGATTATACTGCACAGTTTTGGTCACCGTATTACAGAATGGATATAAATGCATTGGAAAACGTACAGAGGAGAATGACAAAGTTGATCCCATGAATCAGAAATCTTCCCTATGTGGATAGACTGAGGGCCCTGAATCTGCACTCTCTCGAAAGGCGTAGATTTAGGGGGATATGATGGAGGTCTATAAATGGAAAACAGAAATAAATAAAAGGGATGTAAATAGCGTGCTGAAAATATCCAGCCAAGAGAGGACTCGCAGCAATGGTTTCAAGTTGAAAAAATTCAGATTCATGAAGGATATAGAAAAGCACTGGTTTGATAATAGAGTTGTGGATAGGTGGGACAAACTCCCGAGTACAGTTATAGAGGCTAAAACGTTGTGTAGTTTTGAATATAGGTTAGATAAATACATGAGTGGGTGTGGGTGGGTGTGAGTTGGACCTGGCTAGCTTGTGCTGCTGGGTCTGATGCCTTACTCCTTCCTTAAGTGGAAGTGGCCTGACTAGGTGGGTCACTGGGCTAATTCGGGGTGGGGGAGGCACATGGTCTTGCTTCGCATGGGTCAGTAGGTCTGTTGCAGTGTTCCTTCTTTCTTATGTTCTTAAGTATTCATATATGGTCGAATATTCAGCGCGTCTAGGATTCTCTGTGGCTACGATGATGGCGGTGGGAAGATGCCGTCATGCTGCTGAAGCTCTTGATAACAAACCTGATACTTTCTCATTCCCAGCTGCTGTATGACTCATCTTGGTTAAAAACTATCCCATAAATATAATAATAATGTTTTAAAAATAAGTTAATAATAATTGAGAGGCCTTCACTGTTGTCTATATTTTAGTTACGTCTATATTTTTACTTACGCGTGATAATTAAATTCATAGTATTTTAATACAAAAACAGTAAAAAAGAAGTAGCATAAAAGATGGCGTAGTACCTGACGTACCTTCATCTGATGAACTGCTGACAAGAAACACTCAGACACGAACACGCTGAGGAGAACCAAGTCAAAATCTTCCTTCAGTAAATTTTGAACTTCTTTCGTTCCTAGAGCATCAACACAAAGTTCCGGCAAAATCGTCATCATTGCCATAGGGGCTGTCATTTTATTTCCAGTAAACAAATTTGGAACTTGACGAGAAAGATCCCCGCCTGAGAAGACTACCTCATGAACATTTTCCCGCACCTTTGATGACTTAAATGGCGACACCATTGTAACCTGTAAAAAAAAATCAGATTTTTAGTTCTCAGAAAAAGGGGAAATTTCTCCCGACTAGAGACTTTGACATATCATTGACTCTGAGGTTAAGCATCAACCGGAAACCATAATTAAGTTTAGCACGACTAAAAATACCCTTCTTATTATATAATATCGTACGACATATGATATTTTTTTTTTCAAGCGTTGTATTCATATTAGTCTAAATTACAAATCTTTAATTAATATTCGTCTGTTATGGATAAACATGAAGATTTCGATACGAAATGGGAGGTGGACACAAAAAGAAAGCTAGCATCAGGTAGGGTAGGCTCCAAAACCTGGTGGTCCCTAGTCAAGGACAGACAAGTTTATCTGCCTGATGAACTCATTCCACCTCTAAATCGACAGGATGGGACCACCTCTACTAGTAGTCAAGAGAAAGCGGACCTCTTTGCCGAATACTTTGCTACCAAAATGCAAATTCTTGATCCAGCAAGGGACCCTCCTTGGCTAGCTGCAAGAACTGTGTCAAAACTGTCGGTAGTGGCAATAAGGCAGGAGGAGGTGCATTTCCTTCTTAAATCGCTTGACCAAGAAAAGGCTGTGGGCCCAGACAAGTTGAGCCCAAGATTGCTGAGAAGATGTGCAGACCAGCTAGCAGCACCTCTAACTCGCATCTTTCAGCACTGCCTAGCACAGTGTAAATGTCCCTCTCTATGGAAAGAGGCAAATGTAGTCCCTGTTCACAAAAAGAAGAGCAGAGCAGAAATCAGCAACTACAGACCAGTGTCACTCCTGTCAATCACTGGTAAGATTATTGAGACAATAATCTCAAGACAAATGACAGAGTTTTTTGACTACAACTCAGCTTCACCAATGTCTAGGGCCACTACACAGTTGAATTTGGATTCATGTAGTTACTGATACCACATAGGGAAGAGATTTAACATCAAATCAACAGCAGAGTGACGTTTCCTGAAGCCGGATTGACGGTCACAAAAAAGTGAGTTGTAGTTGAAAAACGCGAGTGATTGACAGGAATGACACTAGTCTGTAGTTCCTGATTTCTGTTCTACTCTTTTTGTGAACAGGGACTATATTTGTCTCTTTCAGCAGAGAAGGCCATTTACATTGTGCTAGGCAATGCTTATAGATGCGAGTAAGCGTTGCTTCTAGCTGGTCTGCACATGTACTCAGCAATCTTGGGCTCAACTTTTCTGGACCCACAGCCTTCTCCAGGACCAGCAATTTAAGGAGAAGATGCATTTCATCCTGCCATATCGTCACCACTGACAACTTTGTCACCGTTCTTGAGGATAGCAAAGGAGGTTCCCTTTCTGGATCAGGAACTTACATCTTGCCAGCAAAGTGTTCGGCGGCAAAAAGGTCAGCCTCCTGCTGACTGCTAGGCGAGACGGTCCCGTCCTATCTATTTAGAGGTGGAATAACTTCATCAGGTGAATAACCTTGTTGGTCTTTGACCAAGAACCACCAGGTTTCGGAACCCACTCTACCTGACGCCAGCTTTTATTTTATTTTTTATTTATTTATTTTGTGTGTGTGTGTGTGTGTGTGTGTGTGTGTGTGTGTGTGTGTGTGTGTGTGTGTGTGTGTGTGTGTGTGTTTGTGTGCATGTGTGTGTGTGTCAGCTTCCCATATAGAGATGGCCCACTTTTGGACTTATCCTACTTGCCCACTGGCTTGCAGGTTCTTGTTATAGATATTGGGTTGGCTCTCATACCTTCTCCAAGCCTTGTATTTAGCAGTAACAGCTTTACAACGAAAGCTGAACTAAGGCTGATCTGTAGGCTTCGTCACATACTGCCCGTGAGGGATGTGTTCTTGTTGGAGATTAAATGTGTGTTCAGTGAAGGCATTCACTTTGTTGTTAACATCACCTTGGAAAAGAGTATTCCAATCGGAGGTGGTGACCTCACAGAAATGGGCTAGCCAGTTTCCTCTTTCCCACAGCCAGGTTATGCGTGTAGACTCTTCATCTCGTTCTGTTGGAATCTTCTATGTCGTAAAGAGAGTCTTGCGGTCAGAAGATCCAACGTAGCCATAGTGGTTGACAAGTGACGATGCCTTCATGTAGATCACGCACTACTGGGTCAAGGGAGGAGCCAGAGATGTGAGTAGGGAAATCAACAAAAATTCTAATGTCAAACACTGTAAAGAAGCTCATCAAAGTTCCTTTGTTTATATAAGATATTGGTTGAGGTCTGCAACAATTATAATATGCTGGCATTCATGTTGAGACAGGAGTCCACATTTTCCATCAGGAAGTTGACGGGGTCTGCATGTTACAACCGAGGTCTATACATTACACATGCTCGTACAAAGGTACTAGTGTTTATGCAAAGCTTAAAGAACATCATTTCTAGGTAAGTAGGGATGACAACAACAATGGGCTGGATATGTACACTTTTAGATAAGCACACAGCAACACCGCCTCCACGTCCTTGCTTTTCATCCGTGAGGTGTAGCCAGCAATTCCAGCAAAAATTTCCTGAGTCCCGTCGTCCAAAAATATCTAAGCGACAGTGATCATTCGGGCCGATGAGTGTTGACGAAACTGTGTGTGAGCTCTCCAACACTGGTTATGAAGCCTTTAATGTAATGTTAGCCTACAGGATCCTGATGGATTGTGTTCAGCCTGAGTTGATGGGTATGTAAGGTGCTTGCTCTCGAGACAGGTAGGATACCGTGGCAGCCACTTGGATGTAACCTCTCTCTCTCTCTCTCTCTCTCTCTCTCTCTCTCTCTCTCTCTCTCTCTCTCTCTCTCTCTCTCTCTCTCTCTCTCTCTCTCTCTCTGTCTAACAGTCACATATGACTAACCTGGATGTTATCGTCCGCCAAGGCATTAACAATGCCCATATAAAAGTTCTTGTGACTTTTTGAAGAGATAGGCCCCAGGAAGAGCACTTTGGTGGTCAGCACTGACTGCAGTACTGCAGCACATACCAACACTAGTATCCACCACTGCATCTAAAATAGAAGGATTAAATTAATGCTGCAGATAATAAATCAAAATAAAATAAATACCAAAATATTGCAGCTCTAAGAGAGAAAACTTCCAATTTCCTTTTCTTGAGCTGAGCCGAAGAGAAGAACACTGCGGTGAAGGGAAAACATTGTGCAAGAGAGGCTTTCACATTATCTTCAGGAAGTGTTCGCCCTATAGGTGGTCATTCAGCATTTGGGAAATGAGAGGAAATCGGCTTTGATTCGAGGGAGGATACAGAGCCCTTCACAAGGATCAATAGAATTCCTCTTCTTACTTGAAGGGTTGGAGGGAGAAGCAGCCGGGGCATCCCACGAGAGATTGGAGGGAGAAGCAGCTAGTGCATCCTACGAGGGGTAACACCTTTTGTCCTAAATAAAGGTCTTAGTGAGAATGCGCAGAGGAACATTCTGGGAGTTTAGTTATTATTATTATTATTATTATTATTATTATTATTATTATTATTATTATTAAACATAAATCTCTCAACCCATTCTAATCATTCAACACCAAGATTTGTGTTGGGTCGATCCTCTATTTGCTATAAGCGAGAGGAAAATTCTGTATTCTTAGTCAACTTTCCCCACTAAAATTTGACATGAAGCACCTGCAGAAAGCAGACCCACAACCCACACCCGACTTATGTTGAGGCAAGTGTGGGACCATACACTCACCTTGTCATTACGTAATTAGGTGTGGAAAACTCACTCCCCAGCACCCTCCTTGTCAGGAGATGGGAGTAGATTATGTACCGAAAGACATCAGCCTTCTAAATAAGAGTCTTGAGATATCGTGCATGTTTTTAAAATCAGTAAAAAATTAACTTTAATCTGACGTGCAACTCAACACTGGGCAACAACAACAACAAAAAAAACTCCAATAAGAAGCTCTGCTCCTGAATTAATGTTTTGGAAACTCGTAAATTTTTTTAATTCACTTTAAAAAGAACTTTAAAATGATGTCACTCAGCATAATGCAAGCAAAAAAAATGTGCACTTGAAAGGGATCCCTCCGCTTAATAATAGTTATGGATATTCGTCTTACCTAAAACCTTTTCTTGGGTACTAGGAAGCCTGTTACAAAATTTGCTCGCACTGTCCTTCATGTTGACCGAGTTATAAGGAAACACACAACTGGATAACTTGATCGTCAAGTTGCCAAACACTCAGAAGGTGATCACTTGCTGATACCGGCCAGTGCTCCCCGGTAAAGAAGTTGTGTGTCGAAATAGCGAGGCACGAACGAGTAGGTGATATAGGAATCAAGAATCCGAGAGTTATATTTAAAGTGTTTGAAGACACCTTTCGGGCAGGCAGAATCATATGTACACAGGAAAATGCCACGACAGGAAAATGTGCCGCATAGTCAGCAGGTTAGATAATATTATGTCAGGGAATGGGAACAAGCCCGTTATCTGTCTTAGTGGTGGTGGAGACAGGAGACAGGAGCTGCTGGATAAGTACAGGTCAGCCATAGATGTAGTCAGGGAGGGATACCAATCATGAGTAGCATCTTGCCTAGAAGGGGAGTGGGTAATGAATGTAATTGGTATAAACTGCTGGCTAGACAGGTACTGCAAGGAACTTGCAATCCCATTCATTGATAACTGGGACATATTTTATGGCAACGTGATATGTATGCAAAGGATGGGGTTCATCTCTCTGGAGTTGGAGTGGTTGCATTAGCCAATTCGATTGAGCGGGTAATTGATGACTTGTCTAGGACTTTAAACTGATCGATTATAGAGGTATGGGAGTTTGTGGGAAACAATCAGGCTGCAGCATTAGGGTTGAAAACAGCAGATATAACCAGGATACCTCAGGGACATGTTTAAATGACATTATTCAAAATAAAGTTGCTAGTAAAGTCATAGTAATTGATCAACAAACAAAGACAAACAGTAGAGGGCAACGAGTGACTAGCTCCCTTAAAGTTTACTAAACAAATAGTAGGAGTCTAAGAAATAAGATAGAGCTAAGATTACTTGCAAGTGTAGGTAATATAGATATGATTGGTATAACAGAGACCTGGTTCAACCTGAAAAAGAGAAATAACTTCAGAATGGAACATACACGGTTATAAACTATTCCACACTTATAGGGTCACTAGGAAGGATGGTGGAGTGGCGATGTATGTCAGAGATAATTTAAATTGCTGTGTTAGACAAGACATAAGATTAGAAACATCGGATACAGAATCTGTTTGGCTACAGTTTCTCGAGGGTCGTAAAAAGTTAATTTCGGGTGTGATTTATAGGCCCCCAAACCTTCACAGAGAGTGCAGTAAGCTGTTTTGGGACGAAATTCATAAGGCATCTAGACATGAAAATGTTGTGTTAATGGGAGATTTTTACTTTAGACAAATTGATTGGAACAATGTGACAGGAAATCTTGAGTCTAGTGCTTTCTTGATACAGTTCAGGATTGCTTTTTAGAACAGATTGTGACAGAACCAACCAGAGGAAACAAATTGCTTGACTTCGTTCTTGCCAACAAAGAATCAGTAATAATCTTAAGGTTAATGATGAACTTGGGAAAAGTGATCACAAATCACTTAGTTTCAATGTCATGGAATTACCCAGATGAATGCAATCAAATCTCTGTCCCTGACTTTCGCTTGGCCGATTTCATAGGACTGAAAAATTACCTGGGTGGGCTAAATTGGGATGATCTGACTATGGGTCAGAAAGGTGGTGTTCGTTGCCAATACGTTGTTTTTCAGAGCATAGTTCTAGCTCCCCAGACAACTTTTGCTCCAAGTAAGGAAATTAGATCTAACAAAAATGATCTGAAATGGATGAACAATAGATTAAAACATCTCATTGGTCAAAAGAGAAACATGTATAGGCGTATCAAAAGATGGGATGGGCAGTTAAGAAAAAAATATATTTAATTAAAGAGAGAAATAAAAAAAAAATAAGAAAAGCAAAAAGGGATTATGAGGCTAAGGTCGCAAGGGATTCGAAGACTAACCCAAAAGGGTTCTTTCAGGTATACAGAAGTAAGATTAGGACAAGATAGGCCCACTTAAGAGTAACTCAGGTCAGATCACTGACAGTGATAAGGATATGTGTGAAATATTCAATACTTACTTCCTCTCAGTTTTTACTTAGGAAAATACTACCAAAATTCCTGAAATAATAAATTATGTAGAACAGGACGATAATAAACTATGCACGATTGCTGTAACTAGTGACATGATCCTGAGACAAGTAGAGAAATTAAAACCTAACAAATCCCCGGGCCCTGATGAACTGTTTGCAAGGGTGTCAAAGGAATGTAAAGAGGAACTTTGCAAACCATTGGCTAATCTTTTTAACATATCACTACAAACTGGCATGGTGCCTGATAAGTGGAAAATGACAAATGTAATACCTATTTATAAGGCAGGTGACAGGTACTTAGCTTCGAACTATAGACCAATAAGCCTTACCTCCATAGTGGGAAAATTTATGGAATCAATTGCCGAAACAATTTGTAGCCATCTTGAAAGGCATAAATTGATTAATGAATCTCAACACGGCTTTACAAAGGGGCGTTCCTTTTTTTGCGAATTTACTAACTTTTTTCACTAAAGTATTTGAGGTAGATCATGGTATGGAATATGATATTGTGTATATTGACTTCAGTAAGGCTTTTAATTGAGTTCCACATCAGAGGCTACTGAGGAAACTTAAGGCACACGGAATAGGAGAAATATTTTTCTAGGTAGAGGCATGGTTGGCAAATAGGCAGCAGAAAGTTTACATAAATGGGGAGAAATCAGAATGGGGGCACGTCACAAGTGGTGTTCCACAGGGGTCAGTGTTCGGCCCCTTGTTGTTCACAATTTACATAAGCTACATAGATATGGGAATAAATAGCGACATAGGGAAATTTGCTGATGACCCCAAAATAGGACTTCCAATTCATTCTAATGAGGGCATTAGAGCACTCAAGGATGATTTGATGCAATGGTCGGAGAAGTGGCAGATGCAGTTTAATATAGACAAATGCAAAGTTCTAAATGTAAAATAACTATGCCACATATAAACTAAATAATGTAGATCTTAATATTACTGCTTGCGAAAAGGATTTAGGAGTTCTGGTTAGCAGAAATCTGAAACCAAGACAACAGTGCATAAGCGTTCGCAATAAAGCTAACAGAATTCTTGGCTTCACATGAAGAAGCATAAATAATAGAAATCCTCAGATTGTTCTTCTACTCTATATATCCTTCGTTAGGCCTCATTTAGATTATGCTGCACAGTTCTGGTCACCGTATTACAGAATCTATATAAATGCACTGGGAAACGTACAGAGGAAGATGACAAAGATGATTCCATGTATCAGAAATCTTCCCTATGAGGATAGACTGAGGGCCCTGAATCTGCACTCTCTAGACAGGCGTAGAATTAGGGGGGATATGATTGAGGTGTATAAATGGAAAACAGGAATGAATAAAGGGGATGTAAATAGTGTGCTAAAAATATCTAGCTTATTAAAGACTTACAGCAATGGTTTTAAGCTACAAAAATTCAGATTTAAGAAGGATATAGGAAAGCACTGGTTTGGTAATAGAGATGTGGATGAGTGGAACAAACTCCCGAGTACTGTCATAGAAGCTAAGACTTTGTGTAGTTTTAAAAATAGGTTAGATAAATACATGAGTAGGTGTGGGCAGGTGTGAGTTGGACCTGACTAGCTCCTGCTACTGGGCCAGATGCCGTGCTCCTTCCTTAAGTGGAGGTGACCTGACTGGGTGGGCTGCAGAACCATAACCGCTTAGGAACGAGCAAAAAGAGAGCAAAGCAATTGTTTGTATTTAGAACATAAGAACATAAGAAAGGAGGAACACTGCAGCAGGCCTGTTGGCCCATACTAGGCAGGTCCTTTACAATTCATCCCACTAACAAAACATTTGCCCAACCCAATTTTCAATGCTACCCAAGAAATAAGCTCTGATGTGCAAGTCCCACTCAAATCCAACCACTCCCACTCATGTA